GCAATCTTTTCGTCCTAAAGTGCATGATTGAAATATTCGTTCCTTGGTTTATCATCATCAAACGTTGATCGTTTTAAAGCGCTTACGGATTAAGTGTCTTAAAAACAGAACCCAAGTAATATTTACAACAGCCAGTCTGGCGCTAAAAAATAACTCAAAAGAACCAATCAGAACCGACAGAAAGGGCAAGTAAAGTTTTCTAACGTGTTGGAAGACGCGATTGACTAAGAAAGGATTGGTTCCATATTTTCCCCTTAGTGGCTTCAACGGTGGCGCGATTTTCCCAGACCAATCACAAGGCGAGCTACAGCAAAACAGATGCAAACCCAGAGTAGGCTTTTGGCATTTACATATGGACCTTGAAATTGCTCCATTTTCGATACAAGTTACCCTTACGATATGGTATAGACTGATTAAAGGGTTGAATTATGTAGATTGAGATGAATTTCTTTCAGCTGAGGCTGTTTTTGAGTATGTGGACCTTTCCATGGCGGTGTTTGTGAGTGTACCACTAGAAGCTGGTTTGTCAATACATCTTCCCTCATCACAATGCCAAGGAAAAACACCTGCTGAATTTGAAAGTTTCTACGGAATTTCAGGCGTAAATCTTGGTCTTTCGATTGGATTTCTTGAGAAACATTTGACACTTCAGCTGCCTTTGGGATATTCTCAGAGAAAACGCTATCGGTAAGAATTTTAAAGTTTTATGCCAACATCTTGACTCCTAATATTTAGAACATTGACACAAACGATGTAATCATGATACAAATCCTTTTTGTGAAACTAACTTCTTTATAACGAACGAGCGAAAACAGGCTATTAGAAAAAAACCGTTTTCTATTCTTTCCGTACGCGTTGAGATTTAACTTTTAAATTAAACAGGATTCTTAATAGGGAGGTAATGGAAACAATTATAAGGAAAAGCCACTATCCTCATTCTGGTTCTGCAGTTTTCGTTTAAAGCAAATACGCAACGACTAGATGAGTTCGAACATTCACAATCAGATAAAAGGGAGGCTGAACTAAACTATATTATAATTATATTTATTATCTAATATTATTATAGTAATAATAATGCAAGCTAAGCAAATTATGTCTCTGCTTAAGAAAGAACCCTTAAAGCTTTGTTATGCTCAGATAAGGGTGAGCAGTTACATGGATAACTAGATACGAGTAAATAACAGAACGGAACTTTTACAAAGATAGGTAAATAGCGGACTCTACTGGCGTATTTTATTTTCTATTTATTCAATCTTTATCTGGTCTTTTGTAGGAAATGTATATGTCCAGTAAAAAGCGAGAAAGTAAGTTACCAAAACGATAATTTAAATGATTTAATGCCATATTTTAGAATTTTACCTTTCCATTGTATTTCCCCAGCCTTTTTTTCCCTTTGAAGTAAAACTGCCTTAGATGGCGTTACTTTATTCGTTTTAATTTACAACTTGCATCTTGATTAAAACAGTCATGTGTGGGACCTCCCTCGCCGCACCAGAACCCACCTGATGATGAAGATCCAACACCTACTCCTCCCCCCAAGAAAAAAAATAGGCCACCGCCGAGTGGGTAAGACTGCTGGTTATTCCTTCAGGTCGTGCGATTTATGAAAACCTGTGAGACACACCCGGAACCGGTGGTTCAACCAAGTAATTAACCAACTGATCCGCAAGCATTTCTGTCTTTTAGGTCGTAAAGAGATGTTTCGTTTCATTAGGAAAATAATGTGCTGAAATGATTGCGTTACTTAAAGAGATTGGTTTTAACTTTGCTAAAGATGGAAAAACACACCATAACAGTGTGATATTGCATGATCACAATCCTTGCCTCAACCTGTAGAATTGGCGTTTGATCTACTATCCGTGCTATCATCGATTGCCACGCCCACCCTTTCACTGATTCACCTACACACCCTCCGATCTACCGACGGATGGATGGACGGTTAAACCGAATAGATACCTGATTTGCTGGCCAACAAGTAGACCAAAAGTCTAACCAGCTTACTTACTAACTTACTGAGTGACTTGTGGGTCGGTTGACTGACTGACTGACTACTGAAGTAACCGACTAATTGACTTACGGAGCGAACGACTGACTAACCTACAAACTGACCAATGAATCAAATGGCTGCTAGATTTAGTTCTTATTACAAATGAATAAAGGATGATAGTTTCTAAAGAAACTGTTTGGGGCTACGTCGGTGGGGTTAACGAAATGATTTAAATATATCAACAAAGTTGAAATGGTAAATTGGCCACCGTTACGATTATAAAAGCTGACGTTTCGAGCGTTAGCCCTTCGTCGGAGCAAATGCCATTCGCTCCGACGAAGGGCTNACCATCTAATGTCTCCAAGTGTGGGTCACCTCCACCATTTGCGACTAACCGGTCACAAAATTCACCCTCCCATCCCCCAAAACAGCGACACTGCGCTCCACAATTATCGGTTATGACTGGTTTTCCGTTACCCGAACAGTCTGTGAGGAAAATTATCATGAATTTGACAGAAGAAAGATCATCGGAGTGATTTCAAACAATACTAATGTATTCCTGTTGACAAACTTATGATGGCAATGGCCAGTGTGTTGCTTATTTGTGGAAATACCAAGACAAAGAAAAAAACTACAACAAATGTGTCCTGAATGCCTCTTTCAAAATTTTTTCTTGGCATCAATCCTGGAGCATTTCATGCCGGCAAGATCAGACCAAATTTCATCGTCAACCAATAAAATTTTTTTCGCATAAACGGTACGTTTCTATTTATGTTTACATACCCGTATTAGGCCACATATCAGGCTGACTGCAATCAGGGCCCGTTCGATTCCCAGCACAAGCGGGCCCTTTTCCGCATGGCGACTGTTCAGGTTTACTGTTTCCAACAAAATCAATAAATGAATCATTATCAATCTTTATTATATGGCTGTGTCTCACAAGGACTGGGAACTACCGAATTCACGAATTTGATTGGCTGAAATCAATATTGAAAGCTGTCTAGATTTTCTCATCTAGACCGGCATCTAGACCAGTCTAGAAAAAAATATTCCAAAGAATATAAAAAATTAAATTGGCATATAAGACACAGCCATATAATAAAATTAATATCTTATTAACCGAGCCAGATCGGTCTGTATTGGCGAATCTTGACCTCGGTCGCTGATACAGACCTCACTGCGTTCGGTCTGTACTGACGACCTCAGTCAAACTTCTCCCATACAGACTTCCCGCTTGGTTAATAAGAACTAAATAATTCGAAAATATCAAATAAAGTTGAAATGGTAAATTGGCCACCGTTACGATTATAAAAGCTGACGTTTCGAGCGTTAGCCCTTCGTCGGAGCAAATGCCATTCGCTCCGACGAAGGGCTAACGCTCGAAACGTCAGCTTTTATAATCGTAACGGTGGCCAATTTACCATTTCAACTTTATTTGATATTTTCGAATTATTTAGTTCTTATTAACCAAGCGGGAAGTCTGTATGGGAGAAGTTTGACTGAGGTCGTCAGTACAGACCGAACGCAGTGAGGTCTGTATCAGCGACCGAGGTCAAGATTCGCCAATACAGACCGATCTGGCTCGGTTAATAAGATATTAATTTTATTATATGGCTGTGTCTTATATGCCAATTTAATTTTTTATATTCTTTGGAATATTTTTTTCTAGACTGGTCTAGATGCCGGTCTAGATGAGAAAATCTAGACAGCTTTCAATATTGATTTCAGCCAATCAAATTCGTGAATTCGGTAGTTCCCAGTCCTTGTGAGACACAGCCATATAATAAAGATTGATAATGATTCATTTATTGATTTTGTTGGAAACAGTAAACCTGAACAGTCGCCATGCGGAAAAGGGCCCGCTTGTGCTGGGAATCGAACGGGCCCTGATTGCAGTCAGCCTGATATGTGGCCTAATACGGGTATGTAAACATAAATAGAAACGTACCGTTTATGCGAAAAAAATTTTATTGGTTGACGATGAAATTTGGTCTGATCTTGCCGGCATGAAATGCTCCAGGATTGATGCCAAGAAAAAATTTTGAAAGAGGCATTCAGGACACATTTGTTGTAGTTTTTTTCTTTGTCTTGGTATTTCCACAAATAAGCAACACACTGGCCATTGCCATCATAAGTTTGTCAACAGGAATACATTAGTATTGTTTGAAATCACTCCGATGATCTTTCTTCTGTCAAATTCATGATAATTTTCCTCACAGACTGTTCGGGTAACGGAAAACCAGTCATAACCGATAATTGTGGAGCGCAGTGTCGCTGTTTTGGGGGATGGGAGGGTGAATTTTGTGACCGGTTAGTCGCAAATGGTGGAGGTGACCCACACTTGGAGACATTAGATGGTGAGTAGACGTGAAAAGAAAAAAGATTCTACATTCAATCATTTACGAGCGTGAGATATAGAGAAATCTGAGACCCTGAGAGACGTCCAACTAGTTGCTCACCGCATTACTCAGTCAAGTAATAGACTTCAGATAATACCACGTGTAAACGTCTCTAAATAAGAACTTTAAATATTTTAGGGTTTGAAAATATTTTCCTTCGTGTCTTGTTCTTACTTACCGTACTAGGAGAAGTTAAATATGAGATGAGGTTGATAATACCAGACTCGCATTCAATGAGTCTTAGAATAAGCGTCAATACCTTACATGACAAATTGCCAAAAATAATCCTCGGAAGAAACTCGGGTTCAAAGGTGATCCATTGGCAATATTTATGACTGCGCTTTGGATGTTTGCCTTCTTCGCCAGGTGTCAATTTCGACTTCTTTGGAATTGGAGAGTTCTGGGGTTGTAAAAGTGTTAAAAACGATTTTGGTCTTCAATTTCGTTTTTATTACTACGAGCGAGCTTCGCTAATTGGCGGAATTGCTCTTAAAGCTGGGCGAAGTATTGTTACGATTACGACGATCAAGACTGAGAGAGTTCAAGACTTACCCATTACGAGGTTCGTTTTGTGTACTTTAATCAATTTATAGAGTCGTTATTTTAAGATAGAGGTTGTAATCAGGGGGATTGGGTATCTTCCAAAAACCGTTGAAGCAGATGACTCAACGGTAAAATCTATTCGCTCCTCCTTAATTACCACGTATTTCTATTAAGATATTGGAGAAATTTTAAATGCCGAGGCAAGGAATTTGTCTTTCCAAGTAGGCTGAATAAACCAAATGTACATATCACTATATTTCATAGGTCATTTCTTTTTTTTTTTGATTGTGGCGATTGCAAATGTGAACCGACCACGTGAAGTGTGGTTGGATCTGGTTCTTCATGGTACATATTTGTTTAAGGTACTTATTTGTTGCGGCGATGTTCATTCACCAATCCGGACGAAGAGATCCATTTCTCCTTGGTGGAACCGGTATCATTTACAAATATGTAGTGACTCACCTTAATTTCTCGACAGAATCGATGGAGTGGAAATAAATGCCACCAGTAATTCATCAGAACCTGTTGAAATAAGTAATGGTACAGTGTTATTGGATCGTCAAAGACGTTTTTCGTTTGAGGCTGAAGAGAACAGTGTCGTTTTGATTTCACTTCAGTATGATGCAGGCAAGTCCTTAAATGATACAATGTTTTCCTTTTTGCTCATTTATAGGATTAAAAGGCAGGGATACTCGTGGGGTAGACTTTTATCTTGAAACATACAATGTTTTTAGTTCCCAAGATTGATTTCTTACATTCATTTGCGCACACCCAAATAAATGGTTTTATGCAATGATATTTTCAAGGGATGCTCTTCGTCCACCACATTTTGGAGGGATTTCGTTTTAGTCTATTTGTTTGTTTGGTTCGTTTGCTTGTTAGCTCTTTAACTAGTGAGGGAAAGAAGACCGTAAATCCAGCCTCGAGAAAAATCCTCAGAGCTAGTAGGGGAACTTAATTATTTTAAGGGTTTGACTTTTATGAGATGTACAAACTGAGAAGAAATGTCAGAAGACCAATGGAAAGCGGGTGAACTAGCACGAGACTTTAGCGAAACGTACGTAGGGAAGTTAACGAAAAAGGTCGTTTGCGAAACGACACCTGAAGCGAAATGATCGGTTATCGCTCGACCGTACCTGACTCCGGTCTCGAAAGTCGAGCCCAGGCAATAGAGGCTAGAGAAGGAAGCCTTCTTCACCACAGCATTGCAGCCCCGCTACATTTTGCTGCGTCTTAAGTCGAACTTTTTTACTTCCTCAGGTGTAACAGTAACCATTGACGTTCGTCATAGTCGGGTGATGAAGAGACAGTATTTGAATATTCTCTACTCACCAACTGCTGCTTACAAAGGTCACACTGAAGGACTCTGTGGCTTCATGGATAACAATGCCACCAACGATTACATAGGACCCGACGGAACTCTTTACGATAACGCTGTTAAATTTGCCGAATCATGTAAGCAAACTTATTACATAGTTTGATCTAGATGTTACCCTAGGATTTCTTGTTTAAACATCTACAATTGCAGAAAATAACTTTAAAATTGAATGAAACCTGGCAGTAAATATTTCTCGTTAACCTCGTATTTTAGGTCTATACAGTAGGTTATAGATTCGAGGGAAAATAGAGGATCTTTAACTTACAGTACGCACTGAATTAACGCGTTGCTGGTATGATATTCATATCGCTACTGTGCGTTTGGTGGGTTCGAGAAAACTTCCCCTGTCAAGTGGGAGAGCTGCAGATAACTGATGGATGGGTGATGAAAACAAAATGAGTCATTTTTAAATCGTTTCTTTAGTCGTTGGAACGTTTCAACGCATACTTAAAAGGAAAAAAGAATTAAAGTTCAATTTTCCCACTTAAGCTAAGAAAAGTTGATGATAAAGAAAGGGAGATTTGAGGAAAAGAGTCAGCAACTGAGAGAGCAGACGTTAAGGTAATCAATCTAAGCGGGCTTAGAAGCGGAGGAGATTTGTAGATGTAGATAGACACAAAAACCTTTAATAGATGAGGATGAGCAAAATGGGGATGGATAAGGACGACTAGTTTTTTTTATCCAAGTATTAGTAACAGTATCTGCGCTATCTACCCTTCCTACGGTTTTTCAAATACGATAAATGAGGTAGTCATTGGCTGGAAAAATGAAGGCAATAACCTGATAAAAACCTAATTTCCAGCGTGACAAGCAATGCACATATCGAGGAACTATATCAACCTATATACCGATTAGTTTGTTTCTTTCATTCTTAAGGGAGGATCACGGACTGTCATGATGGCTCAGGTACAAGGGACTCTTGGTCATGGAACTCATCAAACTTTTATCACGATGACATAATGGACATAACGTACACAGATCCCTCGTACATCCCTATGTATTCACTGGACGGAATTTCCCAGTCTGTACTACAGGTTAACAAACTTATGTGCAAAAATCAAAGCCATAAATAAGATCTGTTACGTCATTTAGTTTACACCTTATGCCTGTGTGACTGGACAAAACGTTTAAAGTGCTCATTTTTCAGTCGTATATATTATGATCACAGACCAAACTGAAGTCCACGCGGTTCTTTTGCCATTATTGAAAAGTGGAAACTCGATGGCAGCAAATATAGAAAACTAAGCCAAGTTCTTTGACCAAACCTGTGGCGTACCATCACTATTACGAACCATGCAGGGAAAAAAAGCAAAATAAAGCAAACACAAGAAAGTAGGAACAAAAACCATCACATTTGGCCATGATTTAAAAAGAGCGTAGCGTCCCCTTCAGATGAGCGCCTCCCTTTCTTAACCTAAAGTTAATCTAAGCCTCCAGACGCTAATTTGAGGACCTGAGGTGATTGAAATAAACTTCTTAATTTGAGATAGGATTTGTTATCACTCCTTTATGTTAGAAAACTATCTTCCCTTCACCGTAGATTGCAACAAGCATGTGCAATTCCTTGAATATTTCTGATAATGATTTACAAAGCTGCATATTCGATGTCGCCATAACCAATGACACGACATTTACTGATCAGGAAACCTTTAAACGAGGTAAGCTCTCGCAACGTCCATATTGGTACTTTGTAAAGAGATCTCAAAAGTTTAAGGACCTGGGGCCGTTTCTGGAAAGTGTTCCTAACTTCACGGGCTCATAAAGCGGTTCTGTTTTCATTCGAGATGGGAATCAGTCTCAGAAGTTTTTAAATTAATACAATTAAACTATCAGCTTAAGAAACGAAAAAGACAGGTTTGGGTGCTAGAACCTGCTTTTCTATTCTTTAAAATTTCATGTTAAAACATGCCTTCGAGCCCATTACGTTACCGGGACTTTCGAGAAACGGGCCAAAGGGTCGTTTGTCTGCAAATTAAAGTGTGAAGGACATTTGGTTCTTTAATTGTTACCAAGAAAATGCTATCTCTTAGATACAACGTTAGTACAAAGATTGCCTTAACTTAAATATTTAATGATATTTTCACTGACAAACAATGTTATTACACAAAGCAACCTGAAAGTATGACAGTGCGCAATAGGAAAGTTTCAAAGTAACAGCATAAAAAGGCCGAAACCATAACCTGTTGGCTTCACCAAGTTCACGAGATCTGATCAATATTTCAAACGTTTCTTAATAATCCTTCGTGGTTAATATTCAAAATGTTTTTTAATAATTTATTCGAAAACTTCGATCTCTTTGTTTCAGACTGTCCAGACCAGTGTTCAGGCAAAGGGAGATGTGTCAATGGATCGTGTAAATGTATCGAAGGTTGGAAAGGGAAGAACTGTGACAAAGGTATTGGTTAATATCAGCTTGAATGCTATCTAAAAATGTTAGATGGACAAAGTGGACGCTTGGATCTCTCTGCTATAATTCTTTTGTAAATGTTGTTTACCTGTATTCTGCGTAAGACATAAAATTATACTCAGGGTAAGAGTTAGCTTAGTTTTGTTCTGTGTGAGTGTTTTTTACTAAGTTTGTGTGTTGTTCAGGCTTTTGTTGTGTTTTCGGAGCTTCTCAGTATGTTCAATTTTCATTCTGAATTTTAGCATAGCATAATTGGGTTACTCAGTGTTTCCATCTTTTCCATTAAAAAAAAAAAACCTACCCCGTCGACTCTAACGCTGTTATCGTAATTTTCTTTCCCTTAGGCTCCTGTCTGAACTGTTCAACTATCCATGGAAAGTGTGCCAAAGGATTCTGTGTCTGTGACTTGGGCTGGGAAGGACGAAGCTGTGAACTAGAAGGTTATAATCAGAATTAAAAAAAATCTAATGCCGTTCATCTACTGATTAAAATCGTGTATATTAATTGAGTCCTAATATTGACAACAGCCAGTGCTTTCGAGCTGCTCATTGGATGTTTTCGAAGATAAATGATTAATGAGCTAAGATCGCTTTCTTTAAGGTTCTTTGGCTAGATTGGATATTCCCATTTCCTCATGAAATCGAATCAATTTTTCAATTACTGTCGAATTTGAAACAACTGAAAAAGAATGAAGGGCAACGGTGGTCGGTTTCGCTTGCTTCTTGAGGTCGAGCGCTGGTTTGAGACGCCGGCGTTATATCACACCAAGATACTAACGTTTTTAAATCATCTTGATCTACAGCCACTTGCTTTGGAGTTAACAACTGTACCAGCCCTGAACACGGCAGTTGTAAAACGACGGATGTTTGCCAATGTAATCCTGGCTACATAGGTTTGTTATCTGAAGCATTATTAAAGGCGAGATTAAATCAAAAATTATGGTCTGGAAAATTAAAAAAATAGAGCGGTGATGGCTTCATTTTAGAATAAACCATACCGAGAAACGATGGGGTGAATAATTTTTTTAATCCATGCAGTTTTGCTTTCTATGGCTTTCAGCAAAAATTTAGAGTTCTTATCTTGTCGTAGCTGCCTCATGCTTAAATAAATAGCTCGTTAACCACCCGAAATATTACGTCACTTAAAAATCAGATACATTTCTCGTATCCTCAGGTGCTAACTGCAGTATTGTTCCTACTTGTAACGATGTATCAAACTGTACTGGCAATGGAATCTGTGTGGATTTCGATGTGTGCAAATGTAAAATGGGATGGACTGGAAGCAATTGCGCTCAATACTCTTGCGAACAATTGGATTATTGCTCTGGTGAGTTGAGATCTTGGTAAATCATATCATAGTCTACGAAGAGACGATATTTCCGTCTCTCCTTCCCCTCCTTCACTGCCTCTTTCTGCTTGTCCTTCATAACGTTCCCCTGGTCTGATACTTGTATTAATGTTTTCTTGTCCTTTTCTCTCCCCTTTGCTGTTGAAAAGAACGCGGTAGCTGCGTGGCATTTGACAAATGCGACTGCGATTATGGCTGGACCGGAGTAAGCTGCGCCCTTCCTGACTGTGAAGCTGTCAATCAATGTTCAAACAAAGGAGAGTGCATCTCTAGTGACAAGTGCCGTTGTCTACCGGGATTTGTTGGAGCTGATTGCGGTCAGGTGGCAGACTGCAGTCATCTTGCAAACTGCAGCGGCCAAGGCGTTTGCATTTCTACAGGGTTGCTGAATGTGTCGTGCAGTTGCTACCTTGGTTTCACTGGAGATAATTGCAGTCAGCCTACTTGCACAACCGTGAACAACTGTTCTTCCCATGGCGCATGCGTGGAAGCCGAGTTCTGTAAATGTGACCTTGGATACATTGGAACTGACTGCAGTAACTTTTCTTGTGAGGCTGTCAACTATTGCTCCGGTAAGTACATCGTTTTAAAATCTAAGATCATTTGATTACCAATCTTTTCCCAGGTCGATGCTCCTATGGATACATCATAGTAGCGAAAAGAATATCATAATTGTTAACAACAAATGAGAGTTATTTTCCCCCCACGGTCCGAAAAAATGGTCACAAAGAATATCAATTCCTTTGGGTGGTCCTCAATCCTGTCTCTATGATGCTGATCGTGGCGATCTCCTCGACAACTTTCACTCCCGAGTTGTGTTTAGCTTCTCAAACAAATCAATACGGTTTGACAAGGGTGACAAACGGTGTTCTCATTTTGTGCCGCAGGAAATGGAAAATGTGTTGGCTACGACCTCTGCCTTTGCAACTCCTCCTGGTCAGGTCGAGCATGCAGTGTTCCTGATTGCAGTGCTGTGAAAAACTGCTCTGGCCAAGGAGATTGTATCCTACCCAACATTTGCTCTTGTTATCCAGCTTTTGATGGCGAATACTGCGACCAGAAGGCAAAACCAAACATCAATCCTCCAAGATTTGACCAAAAGTTTTACAGCGCTGCAATTGTAGAAAATTCTCCAGTCGGAACAGTGATTTTACAAGTAAAAGCTAATGATACAGATTCGGGCAGAAACGGTCAGATATTCTATACCATTCTGAGTGATGATAACATAGAAAGTATTCTCACTGTCGGTGGACAGTCTGGAAAGGTTTACAGCGCACAGACGCTGGATTTTGAGACAAATGAATTGAAATCTTTTAACGTGACAATGGTTGCAGCAGATAACGGATATCCTCAGAAATCTGGAATCGCCACTGTACAGATAACATTGCTGGATGAAAATGACAATTGTCCAACCTTCATCGAGCCTCCAGGAGATTTGAAACTAGAATTCCTAGCACTTACTCCCGAAGAAACCGTGACCAAAGTTTCTGCAGTTGACTTGGACAGTGGAGTAAACAGCGACATAACTTACAGCCTATCCAAAAATGACGCCTTCTCTATTCATCCTAAAACGGGTGTGGTTATGGTGGTGTCCGACTTGACGAAGAAAGTTTATAAGCTCACAGTTAGTGCCAGTGACAATGGGGACGTACCCTGCACAACAGACACCAGTTTGACAGTTAAAATCGGCGTCTTTCCGACAACAAAGCCCTTGACCAGATTTACCAATCCCCTCACAAACAGGAAATCTGAAGCCCCCTCAGACCATAATACATCTCCCTTGTCTGAGACTACGACGTTTACAAGTGAGTCTGTTTCCATTTGTAAATACATTCGATTCTGCCATTGAATCTAAATTCTAAAAATCCTCTAGCAATGTCCGAGAGAGATTGTAATAATCCATGTAAACGTTATGTACATCCAAAGGGCAAACATGTTAATACTCGTTAAAACAAATTGTGAAAGGGTTTAGCTATTTTAACATGTGTGTTATAAGAGCGTAGTAACAATTTATTAATAAATAAAACATACTTTGGTATGAAAACCCGCACTTCGCTGATCTGATTTGAATCCTTCTTGAAGCGATTAAATAAAAGGAGAAAATAGCATTGCGTGTTTCACGAAAATATACCTTCAAAACTGGACACATTAATCTATTTTTTAATTTGGATATATCAACAAAGTTGAAATGGTAAATTGGCCACGTACCGTAACGATTACAAAAGCTGACGTTTCGAGCGTTAGCCCTTCGTCGGAGCGAATAGAAGAATTGTGAGTTGTGTGTGCTTTTAAAGGCAGAAAATGGAGCTACGTTATTAGTGGGAACATGACAACGAGAAAAATACGAATAAATTGGTGGAATGAAAAGCGTTCGTTGATCCCTGTGAGATTTAGACTGCCGGTTTGAAACTCTTGAACAAAAGCTTATCTTTGAAACCGACAGTCCAAATCCCACAGAGATCAACGAACGCTTTTCATTCCACTAATTTATTAGTGTTTTTCTCGTTGCCATGTTCCCACCAATTACGTAGCTCCATTTTCTGCCTTGAAAAGCTGACACAACCCACATTTCCTCTATTCGCTCCGACGAAGGGCTAACGCTCGAAACGTCAGCTTTTGTAATCGTTACGGTGGCCAATTTACCATTTCAACTTTGTTGATATATCCAAATTATTTCGTTACCCCCACCGACGCAGCCGCAAACAGTTTATTTAAAAACTATCAGCCTTTAATCTATTTTTTAGTTGAGTGCAAGCTTGAAACATATTTCTTATTCTCTTCTTTTGAACAAAGGGGCTACTACTACGAATGTACCAACGGTTTCAGGAGCGGTTCCCCAGGAAGGTCCAAATTATGCAGTCATTGGTGGATCTGCTGTTGGAGGAGTACTGCTGCTATTGATTGCAGCACGGTGATCAGAAAATGCCTTTGCAAATCCAGGACATCCTCAGCAAAACATACAACAGGGAGATCGAATGCTGGTATGGATTTTGAGCTGTCTGGGAGGATTTGAGAACATTTTATATCTGACAACAGGTTTAAAAAAGGAAGTTTGCCAAGCTAGAGATTAAGTTCCTAAAATAATTTCTTGGATTATCCGTAATAGCATACGGCCTTTACCCACATACTCAGTGGTAAAGGGAAGCTCTTTTTACAAGCTTACTAACGGAGTTGATAGAGTTAATAGCCATGTCAGTCAGTAACACAAACCTTTACCCATATACTCAAAGGTAAAGAGGAGTTTTCCTTACAAGCTCAATGAAGGAATGATAGTGTAGTTAATCATATCAGTTAGTAACCAGCAGAGAAAAAAGCATTGCAACGTCAGCGTCAGTTTGAGATTAAAGCTCTCTTAAACTTATATCGCAAAATATCATAAAAAACCCTTAGTAGTACCGGACACAGTGGTGTTAATAACAGTAACAGTGTTAGTAGCAATTGGAAAAGTAGTATGGTGTAGCGATAACAGTAGAAATGACAGTGGAATGAGGTAATCAGCTAACTATCAAATAACCTAACTATACTTCTAGATCTCAGTTACAAATGATAACTGGTAACATATCTCTAGTTCTCCGTATATATACGTACAAAAAGATAGAATAAAAAGGCGTTTAATTGATTTAAAAAAAAAAAAAATTACAAACCGAGTGGGTATAACCGTAATTTTCTAGCTGATTTTGAGTGTGACATAAGTTTGAATAAAAGCATGGATGGTTGTTAATTTTGTAATGCAGTGTGAGAAGCGGTTGCATGTACAGTTATTTGACAGCTATTCTGATGACTGTCATGGGCAGCACTAACCCCTCATCGTTGAGCTAACTGTTCCTTATTGTTATTGTTTTTAATTGTTTTTGAAAGAAAGAGGCACCCTTACCAGTCCATTTTGTTTGCTGCTAATTTTATGGTAGAATTTTCAAAACTTTTGTAACCCCCATCTTGAAAGAAAACAGAGCAGCTCTACGAGCTCGTTAAATCACCGGAACCTTCGAGAAACAGGCCCAAGCCCCTAGTAAGCAATGGCCTACCCGCCTCGGCGCGCTATCCACGCGCAGTAGATCTGGGAAAGAGCAACCCTTGCAGAGCGGTTGACGGTAATTATAAGTTGTTATCAGCGGAGGATGAGATTTCCAACGTATTTCAAATATTCCGAGGCCCCATTTATTCAAAGCTCTTCCCCGGATGTATTCTCTCTCCATTCTCTGAAGACCCCGTGAACCTGCAGATTACTGGTTCAGGCCCTCACCCAATTAAAAACCTTTAGAATGGCCGCCATAAGCAAAAAAGGCGACGAAGATTCACAGAAGAAATTTTTTTTCCAGTTATGATGAAACTGAAAAAAATGTATGAACTCCATGCAGCGTTCTTAATATAGAGGAGAGGGCGAGTTTCCAGAGAAACTGTGTTACGGCGTCGGTGGGGGGTGGGGGGTGAGACGATTTTACAGCGAGATAATTTGGTTTTATCAACTGAGTTCATAATGTAAACTGGTACCGTAAAAAGTTGGTAAAGCTGACGTTTTGAGCATTAAGCACATAGAGTTCAATTTTAATGCGCTATATGAGAACTTAATATTAAAAATTAGCCCTTCGTCAGAGTGAAAGACGTCGAGCTAACGCTCGAAACGTCTTTTTTAGAAACTCTTGACCGTGGCCAATTTAACGGCATTATCAGCTTATATGGGGAAACAAAACTATTAAGTGAAAAAGGAAAAACCTGGGAAGAAAATTTGGTTTCTGTCGCTGGAGCTGTTGTTGGCTTTTCCGTCATAATAATTGTACTTTTTGTCGCCTTTTTTGTATCTGCATGGTAAGCTACATTTTCTAAAAGTCATATTGGCTTACTGCTTGGGTTTAGTATGTTTATGTTAAGAAAAATGTTAGTATACATTTAACATATGATAAACACCACAGCGTACACTACTTTATGGATGCACGCGGGAGGTTGCTGAGAACAAGTCGAGCGACTCTGACCTTTGTAGCCTTTAATCTTTACTATTATTTGTTCACATCAGATGTTTATTGGTAGGCTGGCTTGCAAATTGCGAAGAGCTAATCGCGGCAAGCCAGACCGTTGACAAATAGATTTGCACAATTTTATACAATAAATATTCGCATAAAATTACAACATATAGACATTAACCATCGTGCTTACAATCATGTAGGTATTATGATAATATGTAAAGAGGAAAACTGCAGAATAAACATAATTACAGTTAGTAATTAATCTTTCATCTTATTAATTAGAGTATCTATGTCGACATAGGAGTTTTCAGTTTCCAGAATTTCGATTAATTCTGTTCTTGGATGAATTTATGAGACTAGTTGGTATGCCATTCCATATTATAACACCAACACTTGAAAAGGCCTTGCCTTGAATATTAAGTGTAGATTTCTTAGCATAAAAATGCTCAGACGTTGATGAACGTGTGCCGCAAGAGTGAACGCTGGTAATTTTAGAAAACAAATTCGAAATATTAATCGGTGCAGAACTAGTATTGATGTCGTACATTAAATTAGCAATTTTTTCACAATATTGGAATTCTAGCGGTAGAAGTTTTGCTTTCAAGAAAAGGGGTATTGCATGCTCCCCTACTGGGGCAAGGTGAACAGGACGGAGTACACGTTTTCGTAGGACAAGAATGTTATTTAACAAGGTCTTAGATCCAGTTCCCCAAGAAGTTAACCATACGTTATATAAGGTGCAATGAGGAAATTATTAATATCAAGACGAGTTTGATTAATTAGGAACAATATGTCTTAACTTCGCAATTAGACCGACAGTTTTGTTGTTGTATGACTCTATAGCTTCTTGAGTGCTAAGCAAACCTCGCAATTGCATCCATAGCTCAATAGTGTACGCTGTGTTGCTTACCATTTGTTTTATAACATAAAAAACAATTTCTTGCGAAACATTTCTAACTTGGACCATTTTAGTCTAGTGTTGCTTTGGTTTCAAGCGTGAGCACTAAAAAATGCCACATGGGTAGATGTTTTTCAGCTCTGTCCATAGAATAAATACCGACTTCTGCAATTATTTTGATATGATTAAATCCCATAGAGGAGAGGAGTCACATTCGACTGCCTTCCTAGTTGAATTGACCGCACGATTGCAGCGTGACACGATCTTGCTGATTGACAGTCAATATAGCGATCACCTGGTCTGTTGAAATCGCCTATTCAAGACCTTTTCTCAACCAATATAGTTTAATCTGAAGAATTTTAATACTTACAACAAACTGAAGAGAAATTCTTCAAGAGAAACTGTCACTCTGCATGGATAGGAATACCGGTAGATCGAATTTAATTACAGAATTGAGATTACAGATAACATCTACGAATAACTTTTGCCAATTGTCTATTTGCTCAAGATCGGCCTATTTTATGATTGAAAGGGAAAAAAACTGGAAGAATGAAGAATATATAGAATTTATTTTGTTCTTTGATTAATGACCTTCGGTCCTTGGTTTTTGTTGTTGTTGCTGTTTTGATCGTAAAACAAATTAAACGTTCTATATTAGTTTTATTCTAAGGAGCTTGTTGGCTCACTTGTACAGTATGCAGGACAGTTCTCTTAGCTCACAGCTCGCTACAGGATCATGAACTATAGATCAGTGGCTTAAATTCCCTAGTGTTACTAAATGTTAAGGCTCAGCGGTAAGAAAAATGATGCTAATAAAAATCGACGTCAGTTTAGTAAGGGGAGTCGTCTATCCCAGACGAGAGAGTCTTATGCTCAAGTCAATTAAGTTTTATTATTCTATTGTCTATTCTTATGTGAAGCACTTTAGAACTTTTGTATAGAGCGCTATATAAATGATATTATTATCATTATTATTATTATTATTATCATTCTAGAGAAAGTTCTTAACACGGTAGAGGATGAAATGTACACTTCTAATTTACAAGATGTAACCCAAACTCTAAATTGCACGGCAGATCCAGTGGAAGGGTAGAAGGGGTTTAGACGCCCAGTAACATTTCTTTGTTTTTTTTTTTTTTTACCTCTTGTTAGACACTAGAATTCTTCCTAAGACAGGATCGCATATAATTACACAATATGAAGTGTGTAACCTTTGCTTGTTTTGCAATCTATCTTAGCTGTTTCCAGGTTGTAATGTGCAGATATTCCTGTGTGTTCTGAATAAAAAAATGGACTTCTCTATGAATATTTCCGTAGTATTTTTGCCGTGAGATGACACAAGATTGTTTTTGTTAACTGTGGTCATATTAACTTTTTAACAGTTAGTACGAACAACACTAACAACACTAGACCGCTGACCCTTTGTCCATACGCAGCAGCATTACACTTATCATCTTTACAGCACGTGAAAGAGCACTCGACTGAGTAACCCTGCCTCTTTTTATCCTGACATGAAGGGACCTGGGTTCCATCTTTCTCGTAGGTCGTACATTCGTTCCCATTTGCGCAGGTTTTGAAGAATATGTGATCTGTCTTAGAGTTTTTTGAGAATGAGATCTTCCCTTTTATGCACATATCATCACCCCGTTCACAAGTTCTTAAAATTGTTTTGTTGAAGCAGTCTTCCCAGGATGCATGCGCGAAGCATTCGTAACATTTATTCGGGGAGGAACCTGGATTTGAGATTCAAAAGCATAGTGTGTTATTTTAGGTCTTTTCTCAAATATCTGGTAACTTCTTTAGA